CCAAGCCTCAGGCCCTGTATGTCGGCAACCGTAAACTTTTGGACTAAGGCGAGTTGATGTTCACCCCAGGAATTCGCCATTTTGTTTTGTGCCATTTCTTTTGGGACACCCTGTATTTTTATCAAAACAGCCCCAAGAGTTACAACGCGATTTCTATACGGCTCTGGACGCCACGACGTTCGCCCGCTACTTACCTAAATTGATTTCAATTTTTGCCTTTCTCTTTGTGGCTTCCACACTTAATGCCTCTTTCAGCACACACAAAGTCATGATATTATCAGACTTAAAATCGGCCTCTCCTTTTCTGGAAAATAACGGGAAAACTGAATAACTAGAGTAACGTTGAAATGCAAATAACTTGGAAACTAATTATTCCTGCTTACTTGTAAGCACATATTAGGATGGTGCCCAATATACTGGACTGGAAAAATAGCGAGGAATCGATTTGCGGTTTTTCCGGCACTTCAGGCAAACATTGACTGATCCAGTTATGAATTTCGGCCAGTGTAAATGTTCCTTTCAATTTCAGTTGGCTGTAGGGCCTAGAAATGAACGAAAATGAATCCACACCGCAAAAAAGTTAAATTTTACCTGTCGAGATCGGTGTACTCATTAACCCTGTAGTGTAGAGAAAGTGCCTTGATATCAAATTGTAACAGTCGGCTGCATTTCGGCTGCAAAACCGGAGAAACATACGCTTGCAGAACACCCTTTTCGCCTTCGGAAGTTTGGATTTTCAGCTCAATGCGGCTGGTGTTTATTTGGCATCTGTATGTGGCCAACAGGTGAGGTTTCGCCTGAAAACCCATCCAGAAAGTCACATAAGTGTTCTTAAATAAAATTGCCCTACCTTAGAGTGGGTGTCTAGACTGTAGCTGACGACCGCAGTATTTTTTTCCACATCGAGCAAATCCACTTGCGAGTTACATTCTATCAAGATGTTGTCTATAGCAGTGGGCGCTTCGAGGATGAGTAGATAAGTTGCTGTCTTTCGGTCTAAAACGAACTGGAAAAACGTTGTTCCGGGAGTTTTTAATCCGCGCTATTGCACTTACAGTAGAATTAACAGGAATCAAAGAAATCGCCGATAGTTCCATGAAATTGCTATTTAGAGTCGCCTCTTGGTATCGCTCCCGTTCTTTGCGCACTTGCGCCTGCAATTCTTCCACGTCGGTTCTAAAAAAATAGCAATTTAGGTTGCATATTGGGGCCGAAATGGAATAGAGACTTCAGCTTGGCAATTTTATTCGATGCATCATTCGAGAAAACGTAACTTCCAGTTGAGCCGTCAAAATTCGCATCGGTCACTTGAGTGGTAAGGCCGAAGATGCGGCCACTATAAGTAACAGCCAGCACTTCATCATAGCCCTGACTTGCCACTATTCCACATTGAAGCGACGTTATACTTTCGTTGCAATTCTAAAAAAAAAACGTACCAATTATCTAAATATCTGTCAGCAGTTTATATATATA